AAATCAATCTGTAAGCGCGGTGCATACAGCCACACACACTCACAGGTGTATATATATAAAACATGGCTGCCTTAACAGCCGTCTTCATAAATCACTTGTCCGAGGCCTCACCTTTCAGCTTCTTGCGTAATCTCCTCCAGGCTAAAACACATGAATGTTTCATGACACACGACTTTGTAGCAAATGAGACGTTTAACACCCGACACCGCCGCAGTTTCCCTTCGCTTTGAGGTCTCTGCGCCCCCTGCTGCTGAGGTCGGGGGGCTGTGCTTTGGTCCGAGGTGAATCGGGGGAAGTTAATCAGCCGATTTGTCCGTCACTCACCTCGGAGACTGGCGGGGAAATGGAGACGTGAAAAAAAACCAAAACACTAGGACTGGAAGTGTTGCTTGAGAAAAAGCTCAAATGCTGGTTTTATAAGAAGAATGATGATTTGATTCAGTAGTAATGAAAGGAGTTTGTAAATTATTTCGTAGCTCAATTTCTCAGTTTACCTCAGATAACGGCTGAGACGATTCTTTTTCAGCTCTCAAATCTGTTTCTGTCAAAAGAAAGCTTTATTTCAACCACTTCACAGGTCAAGCCGTCTGATTTTATGTTTGTGTTAGACAGACTTTTTAAACAGAAATGAACGGAGGGAAAACATTCAAAGTGAGAGCTGCCAGGGGGAGCTAGGGAGTTTTTGACAATTGCAGGCAAGATAAGAAAAAAAAAATGCAAAAAATATCTTTTCAGGACCGTGAACGGGGCAACGGCCCAACGACCGTAATGGTTGGATTCTCAAGTTTCCAACGGTACCTGAATGCAGCTTGTGTGACAGCTGCAACTTCAGCGTGACAAAGTCATAATCCGCGTAGACCTGGGTGGTTTTCACGCTGCTCTGCTCCTCGCATGGTCGCTAATTTATTGATTATTAATTTATGATTTTTCTATTTGAATTTTCTTCTTCTAAACAAGTGTAATAATTAGTGAATAATGAATAAAAGTGATCAAATGCGTTACTAAAAGTAAATGTTTCTTCGTGTACGTTATTGTCGTTGGGTTTGCAGAGCTAAAGTTCATCAGTGCTAATTAGAAATGAATGAAACCGTTTTCCCGCCGTTTTTTTTTTTTTTTTTTTTGGTTTTTCTTCGACTTTCATCGACACGGAGAGGGAATCATCCTACAGTAGTAGTTCATTCATTACAAATGCCACACAAACACGCACGCACGCACATACACGAGGTCCCTTGGCGTTGTCATTACAGAGTCTCATTATCAAAATCAATTCAATTAACGGGTGTAATTGCTACAGTGAAGCCCAAATGTTAACAGAAACAGAACTGAAGGAAGACAAAGACAGACAGCTCCCTCTGCCTCGGAGTGTGTGTCTCTGTGTCTGTGTCTCTGTGTGTGTCTCTGTGTGTGTGTCTGTTGTGCTTGAGTTTTTTACAATATGAATACAGTCATAACTTGTTTCCTCCCCGACTTCTCTCTTCAATCCAAATTAGCCCTGGTGGTTAACCGTAACAATGCTAACCACGTTAGCTCGGTCGTTCCTGCTAAGTCTAAATGAAATTAGTTAGCTCACGCTGTCAAGACGATTGTCTGCAGTGATGAAATGATTGGAGATTAGCCTGGCTAACAGTGTTAGCTGACAGCATTATTAATAACATTTGGGGGTTTTTTTTAACCTGGTTTTTCTTACTTTATGTTATTTCTTATCTAATAATTTCTCTTTTTTTTTTAGCTAATCTGATCTTTTTATGCAGGTTTGTATCCTAATTTGTAGAAAAAATGGTAATTGTATGCTTTTTTTTAAAACGTATTATTAACGTTTGAAAAATAGCACGAAGCCTGTCTCTTATGCTTTTTTTAAAAACGTATTAATGTTTGAAAAATAGCACGAAGCCTGTCTCCTGGTAGTACTGTTCAGAGAGGATGCCTTGTCATGCTGCAGGGAGCAGAGTGCAGGGTGGCAGCGGTGGCAGCCATGATGGATTTTACCTGTCAGTAACAGGTCAGTCTCATAATTCAGGTAGAGCAGCTGATGAAATGTCAGCCACCTTTTCTTTTTCTTTTTTTTTTTTTTTCAAATGTCTGTTTCAAAAAAAAACACACAGAGAGAAAATAAACACACAGAGAGAAACGGCAATGAACCCAACACTTCCTAAATGTTAACGACTGCTCTCGGATTTTACATCTTCAGAACCACTAACACGTCAGTGTGTGTGTGTGTGTGTGTGTTTATCCACACACCTCCCTCTGTTAAAATATGACGCTAAGCTAATGGTTCAAAGTCAGACAGATGGACCTCACAGTGGGGGTCTAGAACTGGAGACGCACACACACACACACACACACACAGTCTACTCCAGACTGCTACAAAAACAACCTCAAATTGATACATTGGCAAACTAGACGATAACAATTTAAACTAGCCTTTCCTTCTTGTGTCTAATTTAATAACACGCAGTATTTTGCTGAGACATCTCTTGGCTGAGTAGTATTTACGCTACTGTTGTTAATGTTAGCTATTGTTGTGAATGTTAGCTATTGTTGTTAATGTTAGCTATTATTCTGTTTAACCTTCCTCAGTATCAGGGCTAGGTTATTTTTTTTTGCAAATTTTTCTTTTTTTTGCTAACCGCTAATATTTGGCTAGTCTTTAGCTTTTGCTTATTTTCTTTTTCTAGGATCACCTAATTATCCTTTTTGTATGTTCACGTGATTTGTGAAAATCCGATTTATTAGATGTGAAGTGCGATCATGAGCACATGCTATCATTTAAAGTCTAGCTTTTCTGTTGCAGTCAATGTTATTGGTCATTAAGCGTTTCATTTAAGAGGTAACATTTACCGCAGCAACATTTGTGCGTGCGAAATGCTAAAAGATGTATCTATCAAATTGATTAGAACTGTGTAATGGCGCATAAACAGGCGGTAGAACGGATTGTTCAGTTTTTTTCTGAACATAATAATCGGACTCATTTCTTGTTGTCATTACTCAGACTATTACTCTCGTGTTGATAAGCTCCTCTTCCCAAACTAAGAACACGATTCGAGCTGAGGTTATAAAGAAGGAAGATAATTACGTCCTTGCAGACTTTACCAAATGAACAACTCTAACTTACCACGGAAACAAATGAAGCAATACTTGGCAGTCAATGTGTTTTTAGACGTGAAGACATAAATTCTGGCAGATTTTACAGCAGGTTAATAAATGTTAGCGCTGTTAGAGCAGCGAAGAGGAGCCGTTATTCTTCCGATAAGTACTTCCCGGAGAAAAACGACCACAGTGAGACAGGCGTGACGAAGACCGGGGCTTGTTAACGGCAGCCTCGTCGGTTCCAACTTCCTGTTTACATATTAGTATCGAAAAGGTCAGGGTTTGAGAAGGAGCCCAATTATAGATGTTTTGCGGAGCGGCAGAAATGCAACACTGATACGGATACTCACAGAACAACTAGTACTGACAGTAGTACTGGATCTGGAATTGATACTGTTGGTATCTGATACTAGCAAATATGTTAACTGCTAATGAAACACCCGACGCTGGAACTACTAACGATGTAAATACTGATACTAACACCAGTACTTATAACCTTTATATCATTATATCATAACGACATTGCTACCAGCGGTGGTCGGTGAAAAATACTCTAGGTGGAGCTGTGCCATTTTAATATTTAAGGAGATAGTAATTAGTTAGTTTTGGATATTATACATTATTACATATTTACACATGCACACTAAGCTGTTGACTGTTACATTAGCGACCCCTTGTGGCGGAGGTGAGCACAGCTGAGCACATGAAATGGCGCAGATATCCACTCAGTCAACTCGGGGCGACTGATTGGATACATTTCTGTTGCACGCGCATATCTCACGTCGGTCATCAATTGGCTGCGCTAGCGCGCTGGCTGGTTCTCGCTGCTTTTCCCCGTAAATATAAGAATTTATATTTTATATAAATGACACGTTCTGGTGAATTTAATCAAAATTAGTGATTATTTATAAATCCAAAATACTAGGCAGGGCGGCGCCAACGTACCTGTTATGGACCTCGCACTCATCCTATCCTGGAACTGATGTTCAGACTAGAAACCGGAACTTATATCGGTTCATTTGTGATTGTTTTGCTTTACTGCCCTCTAGCTGTGATTCCTAGTACTGCAAGTATTGTTGTGGTTAGTAAAAGAAAACCTAAATAGTCGGTTGTCCTTCCTCCAGGTACGATCTCAGAACAGCAACATTGTCACCAGCTCAGCTTTCACCCGCAGAACTGTGTTTTTTTTTTTTCCTGTCCGATTTTCTTCTTATGTGGGATTTTTTTACGAGCGTGAGCGCACCAAAGACTCCCTGGATTTTTCCAGAATCCTGCTGAGCGTCTAATGAACAGCAGACTGCTGCACTGTGGAATTCTGGATAAGCAGAGGGAGAGGAACGACATCCCTCTCAGTGGGACGTTAGTCTGATCAAACGTGACCGCGCTGCCAGCAACACCCAGACAGACCAAAGTGTGTGTGTGTGCGGGTGTGTGTGTGTGTTCCACAAATGGTTGTTGAGGGTTTGTGTTTTTCCTACACAGATGTACAGACTTTAAAAACAAATGACTCATTATTTATACCTGGCTTCCAGCTTTTTCACCTGGTTTTTTGGAGTATGTTTTTGTGAACGAAGTATCTGCTCCGATGCTGATACCAAGATGTTCTTTTCTCGGATTTAAAAATATGCTTTCTTTATATATTTATGGAACGTTAAAAAAAAAAGCATATAATAGGGTGCCGAGAAACGAGACGTGGTGTTCTGTGAAAAAAAAGTCAGGAGTGGCAGAGAAGCATGTGAGGGTGGTGAAGGACATTTCTAATCTGTGGTGAGAGCAGTTGCAGGAAAATAACTGTTATATTTTTACGCAAGAAATCGAGATTTCTGTTTCTGTATTTATGGAAAAAAAATGTAAGACAATATTTGCATTTATTGATATTTGGGTTTTGTTTGTTTGTTTGTTTGTTTGTTCAGAACCACCACCCAATTCAAATGAAACCTGCAGACAGTGAGAAATCTAACGGTAAGTTGTTTCTACACACACACACACACACACACACTCACTCACACACACACAGGTGCATAAAAACTGGTGCATAAAAACGCAACAATAGACTTTTTGAATTTGCTTCGTAATGGCTGTCTAAGTGGCAGACGTGAGGGGGAAAAATAATTCCTGGGCGAGCGAGGGAGGGAGGGAGGGAGAGAGAGAGGGAGAGAATGCTGATGTGTGTAAATATATTTTTATATGATTAATTATTAAAGTGTTTCTGCAGAAGGTCAGCTTAAGATGAATGCTTTTGGCCTCATGGTGAACCAGTGGGCCTTCTCTGACACGCACACATGCACACGCACACACGCACACACACGTACTCACACAGTGTCCTCAGATAACCCAGGTTATCACCGAGCCCCTCTCTCTCTCTCTCTCTCTCTCTCTCTCTGTCTCTGTCTCTCTGTCGTTTGTCTCAGTCTAACAGTCAAGGTTTTAGAATCAGTGAATAAACAAACAGACGAAAAAAAACCCAAGTGTCGGCTGCTGCTTCAAAACAGAGTGTAAACATATACGTCACCTGCTTATGACTGACATTATTCAATGTTTTGTCTAGGGTCGGCTGCTGCGTCAAAACAGAGTGTAAACATACACGTCACCTGCTTATTACTGACATTATTCAATGTTTTGTCTAGGTCACTTGTGTCAAACTTAAGGCTCGGGGGGCCAAATGTGGCCCGCCAAGTTGTTTCGTGTGGCCCGCGGGAGCTTAGAAATCATTTAGTGAAGTCCATGCAGCAGAGTTTCTTGACCGAAGACATTGAAGTTTTTTTTTAATCACACAGCAAAGAACACTATATTTTAGCTTAAATAAATAATAATTGATGCAGAAACATGTATTAGTCTGTTATGGAGCAGTTACATCTATCTTTAGACTCTAACCTGTTTGAATCAGAGTCTGAATGACTGTTATTTTAAAACATTGCCAGATCATCTTTAAATAAAGAAAGTCAATGGATATTGATGGCTGGATTGTCTTTGAATGAAATAAATTAGTAAAAATTTAGTACATTTTTTCACTGTGTCCCACTGCGGCCCGGGACCAAATGACCTATGGACTGGTACTGGTCCGCGGACCAGGGGTTGGGAACCCCGTGATAGTCTTACATTTACAATCGGCCCTTCAAGGGGAACTGTAATGCTGATGTGGCCCCTGGTGAAAATGAGTTTGACAGCCCTGGTGTCTCTTGGTAGTCGTAATCACTCTAGCATTAGCATTAGCATTAGCATTTTTTACAAGATGTAATGAAACCATAAAATTACGGAAAAATAAAACGCCAAAATCTATGGTGAAAATCATTATTTACGGCCTCCTATTTACTGCCCCCTGTAGTCAGTTTGTGTCTGTGACATCTGAAAAATAAAAAATAACCATTTTAACCACAGACTCTCTCAGTGGAAATTCCTGTGTAAATGGTTTTCAAGCTTCAGTTGCCTGTTGTGAAAGTCTGTTCAGCTGTGAGGTAAAGATATGGACAGATGCTGAAGGAATGAAAAACTGTTCGTCGTCTCACTTGTCGCTCTCTTGCCAATTGTAGCCACTGGTGGCTCCGCAGCTTTACTGAAGGTTTATCGTCTTAAATCCTCTTTAAGGACCAACGAACCAATTATGAAATGACCAGTGTGATGGTGATTCAGCCTGTGATTCAGAGGTTGACACGACCGAGCTGTTACTGTCAATCAAATGTAATGGCTACCATTAACATGCTATTGATTTGCCTTAGCACCGTCGCTCCAGCTGTTGGTTTGGTGTCTGTGTTTCCTGAGGCAGAATAAGAGAAATGACTGAACTAAAGTTTGTTCACACTTCCATAGAAGAAGACAGAGATTTTTAGATCAGAGGAATTAAAGTGAACTGGATTAGCATTGAATGAAGTGAACTAAAAAAAAATTTTTTTTTTTTAAAAATCTGTTTTATATTTATAATTTTTATATATATTTTATGTATTTATAAAATTTTACAAAATTTTATTTTTTTCCCCAAAATATTTAGAGATGTGTATTTTTTTTATTATTATTTTGTAATTCACGACTGTCAGATTCACTCATTCGCTGGACATTTCCTTTTCTCCATTTCCTCCTTTTTGCTACTGTAGCCGTGGAAGACAGGAAGCTGTTCATCGGAATGGTGTCAAAAAAGTGTAACGAGAACGACATCAGAGTGATGTTCTCAGCTTTCGGACAGATTGAGGAATGTCGGATCCTGCGAGGACCAGATGGGCTCAGCAGAGGTGAGTGGACCAGCTGGAGTCTGTCCAAAGGTCCGGCTGTAAAGTCCGGACCGAGGGTGGGAGCAAAGGAACTGGTCCATTTGTAATTTATACACTTTGTTACTACTAGACTCTAACGATGTGAGTTTTATACCAAATACTTTTTTAACCTATTTCTTAAAATGTTCTATTATACCTTCTTACAGTAGTTTTATCAAATGTTGTTGGGGAGGGTAATTCAAATTATCATTTTTTTACTTTTTTATTTACAAAATTATTAGCATTTCTGAGACTAATAGTTGCAGTATTCTTTAATAATTGTTTTTTTTTTGGCCAACATTTTTTGTTGTCCAAAATGATAATTTTTTTTTTTTTGGCCATTTAAGTATTTTTTTGTTCTTTCTCAAGGAACTTTATAACATTTTTTGTTGTCCAAAATGATAATGGATGACTTTCTTTTTTTTTTTTCCAGATTCATTGATCATTTGTTAGTTTATATTAAACTGGGCATTTTTAACTTTTTAATATTCTTAACTTTTGATGATGTTTCAAGGATACATATAGAAATGTTATATATATATTTACATATATAAAATATACATATAAATATTTTTGGGGGGGGTAGATTAAAAAAAATCAAAAATAGCTTTTCATGCCAAGGAATTCTACAGATGTTTGGATTTGGAGATAGACAAGAATCTTAGCATTTCTTGTAAAACATTGTCCGCCCATCACCTGCTCTTACCTCTTAGAGGTCGAACGGGAGTCAAACTGGAGTTCAGTTGAGTAAATACAAAGTCTGGAGAACCATTGAGGTCTCTGAGGCGTCCCAGGTCCTTTAAACCGAAATATCAACCAGAGCGGCGACGTCCCGACACTTGTCCTGCTATTAATAAAAAGTGGATCTGCAGCAGTGGACGGGGATCGGGGTCCGCGGGGATTTAACCCACTTTTAGTTCGCTGCTGACGACAGAATGCGGCCCGTCAGGTATTTTTAGCTTCGCTCCTGATTCTCAGCCAAGAAAAAGTAATTATGTATCAACAAGTCAGAAAGACACGACCGAAACCTCACTTTGACAAAAGTCATTTTCAAGGTAAACCAAAAGTACATCGTCAGGATACGGTATTTTAAATAAAATACTCTATCAATGTAAAATACTCTATCCAAATATATAAATCATATTGGTCAGTCTACAGTCCCTCGGAATAAAATATGATCACCACTGAAATTCCACTAACTCCATAAAGCAACATTTTGAGTTATATATTTGTCTTGACATTTTTTCCATATTATATAATAATTCCATCATTTTGATTAGTCCCAAATATATAAATAAGGTAAATATATTTATATATATATATATATTTATAAATAAATATATACACATTTATGACTGTATGTGTGTAAATATATCTACATATATACATATATATGTATATGTGCCACACGCCATTTAATTTATTATTATTATATTATTTAAACCACATTAAATATGCATGAATATTTTTCAATGTTTTTTGTAATAATAGGGATGTTGATATATTAAGCATGATTAATTGTAATATATATATTATATATTATAATGATATCAATATATATCATTATATATATATACAGTATGTGTGTGTGTGTGTATAATCACCATCATTAATCATGCTTAATATATCAATATATGTGGGCCATAGGCCATATTAAACATATTAAATATCCATGAATATTGAGTAATAAATCAGGAGGTTTTGTACAACTCTCAGCTTTACTCTCAGTTATTTCGGTGTCCTACTTTTCAACAGCTAAAATGACTGTCTGGTCATAGCTTTGAAGCTGAATTAGTGAGGTCACATGAGACTTTTTTTTTAATCTGTAGACAGTAGAAAAGCTGGCTGTTGTTGGTTCTGTACTGAACTGTTAGACTTTAACTTTTTTGCTGATTCTCCTTATACTGCGTTACTTATCTACTACTAAAGACAGTCTCTGAGACGGTCTGTGAAACTTCAGCGTGGTCAGATTTGTCACAAAGAGCCCAGAGGAGCAGATATTGACTCTGAGGGATTTATCGTAGAAGCTCCGGTCGTTGTCCAGTCACAGGTCGGCAGTAAAAGAGAGGAACATTGTAACCTTTTTTGTCGGAGACAAACTCTGACTCTTTTTGACTACTTTTTGTTAAAAAAAAAATATGTCAGGACACCTTGACTTTGGTCTGTGAGGGTCTGACCCAGATGGGGCCCCCTGCAGGACTGATCCAGTTCTGAAGAAACAACCTCTCGGAGAAAGTGACAGATTAAAGAAAAAATAATGACCTCTTTTCTCCTGCAGTGTCCTACATCTGCTGCGAGGCAGTTCCGACTGCAGCGGCAGCAAATGTTTAAGAAGGTCACGGACACGGAATTTGAGAACATTCAGGTTCTTTTTTTCATCTGTTATGTTAGCATCGTTAACAGGAAGTCGGTGAAAAATCACGACATTTCAGATGTAAGGTTTCCAAAAAGTATATATAATATACTGTATTATATAAAATATATATGATACTGTATAAACAATAAGCTAGCTTAACAATAAACCAAAATTTTAAAAGCTAAAAAAACAAACAGGAAATACCTAAAAGTAAGCCAAAATGTAACAAAATATAAAAATAGCATCAATTGCTAACATTTGTTGGTAGAATTTCTTTAAGTTAGCCGCAAATATATAAAGACAAAAGATGAACACAGGAAATATTAAATGTTAGCTTAACGAGTCAACGGGTCGAGAACCAATTTAATTTTTTTTCCCAGAAAATATTTTTTAGGGAAAACAGAGCTTGTTCTTCATTCTCCTCACACACGTCTATTATTAAGGTGTGTGTGTGAGAGTGTGTGCGCGAGTGTGTGTGTGCGCGAGTGTGTGTGTGTATTCATAACCAGTACTGACTTTGTTAGCATATTTTGAGCTTGGGGGATCGTAGAAGCTCCTCTCTAATCATCTTCTCTAAGCTTTCCCTGAACCATCGTCACAAACGCAACTTTCATTTTATCACCTGACTCAGGAATACTGCATGATGATTGGCTGAAGTCAGTCTTTCATGTTATTATAAAAAAAAAATACCCCCAAATTGTTGATTACTCATTCCCTACTCCCTCTACAGGGGATTATATATATCGCACTACATAATGGACTCACTGCGGACCGGCTACGCTCTCTCCATGTCACTCATCACGACTGCATTGCATGATGGGATATAGTTCTAGGGTAGTAACCATCGGTTGTAGATTTCGCTGTGAATTGTGGTATACATTGATTGTCCTTTATAGTGGACAACTGTCCTTTATAGTGGACAACTTCTACTCCCCAAACATTCGGACACCACTACGCAAAATGACGTGCTCCCTGTGTAGTTCACCATGTAGGATGTAGGGGGCGATTTTCAGACAGTCATAGTCTTTTTTTGTGCCCATGTCTCATACATAGAAAACCAAACAGAAAAAATGGTGATTTTTTTATTTTTAGCTCATACGGACACGGGATCTGTTGATCTACTGCTGCCCCTTGTGGTCATGCTGTGTTACTGAAATAAATTCGCTTTAAGAATCTCAAACATCACAAAATAACATTTGAACCAAGTGATGGAGGAAGCATTCAAACATTATAGTCACAAAATAACACATTTGAACCAAGTGATGGAGGAAGCAGTGGATCAGACAGGTGGTTGTGCTCGGTAATTCTACTTCCTGTTTGTCCATTAAGAGAAGATTAAAGCAGATTTAAATATATCTAAAATGCTTAGATGCAAATCGGAAGAACAAGGACAAACCCGGGCGCCACAGCTGTGGTTGTCGGTAATGATCGGCGATGGTAAGGCGGTCCGGGGAGGGGAGGGGCTTGTGTTGCTCATTTCTGAACTGTGGTTGTTCTTCTTGTTGTCATACCTGTTGTTTAGACTGGGGGGAAACACTGTTGTCCAAATGTGATTTGTTCTTTGTTTTCCTTATCTAATAAGAGTGTCCAACCCTTTTGTGTTGTTTTTGTTCTCTCGTCTCCTCCCTCTGACTCCGCCCCCTCCTCTCCTCCCTGCAGGATGTGCGTTTGTTACGTTTTCCACCAGAGCTATGGCACAGAATGCAATCAAAGCCATGCACCAGTCTCAGACTATGGAGGTACTGTACTCTAACACTCTCTCTCATTCTCTCTCTCTCTCTCTCTCTCTCTCTCTCTCCTTTTCTCTTGTTGTATGTGAACCTCGCTCTGTCAGTGTGCTGCTAATGTTGGTCTCCGTAACAGTCACCATCAACTGTACCTCTTGTCTCTCTGGGTTGGACTTACGAATGGTTTGAAAGTATGAATTTACTCAATGATATAAATATTTAAATGAATAAATATTTAAAAATAACGTTGATTTTTCATATAATAACAAAGTTTTTAATTAATATTGATGTCTTACTGTATTTTTTTAACTTAAAAAAAATACAGTAAGATCAAATGTAAAAAAGAAAAAGAGCTGACTCTTCTGCCCCCTGCTGGAGCAAAAACATACCGTTCTCAGGAAATGTTTGCAGCTTTAAAGAAGATGAATTTTTTTTTTTAAAGAAATATTTCACCAGTTAAAATTAGTCCTGTCATATCTTAACGTCTGTTTTCAGTTTCACTCTTTAGCAGACATTCACAACAGGAAACTGAAGTTTCTGAATCGTTCACCCCCCCCCCCCCCCCCCGGGGCAAAGAGAAACTCAGTGGTTTTAGCTCAGTGTTTCACAGCAGTTGTTAATGCACTGCTGCTGCCACGGTTGAGTTCAAATGTATTATTTGGTGACTCCACAGACCACGAGGTGGTCAAGGTTTCATGGACTTTTGTAATGTAATCGTATATGTTATTTTATGGTTTGTTGTTGTTTTTTTGGTTTTTTTTTTGCTAAAGCAGGGGGGGGGGTGTACCTCACATTCCTTTGTCTGCTTCTAAACTTCGAAAAACTTGAAATTTAAAAAAAATGATATTTGACCTGAGTGGCAGCGCAGTCTGGCGATGTTACAGACCTCATCAGCTGCTCGTCGACCTCAGCTGAATCATAACAGAGAGCAGGCCACTGTGGCTCTGTAAGTGTGTGTGTGTGTGTGTGGGGGGGGGGTGATGGGGGATTGAAGATGATTAAACGGACAAAAAGGAGACAAACTGTGTTTCCGCAAGGAGTCAAAAAAAACATGATAATAACAACATTCTGTGGCCTCGAAATAATCATGGTAATCATGGCTGCTGTTGGTGTGTGTGTACGTCAGTGTGTGTGTGTGTGTGTGTGCGCGCGCGCGGCGTGGGTGGGTTAGCACTCGTTCGTGTGCCTTTTCAGGGCCTCAGCGTGTGTCGTTGACCCGGTCATTACTGCCTACTCTTTACTTATATTCATTCTCATTATGATCCTGACATTCACGTGCACGTGCACGTGCACGTGCAGGACCACACAGTCGTCACACTGGGCTAAATGTCAGGTCATAATGAAAGTGTGAATACGAGATAAAGTTAGAAAACCCGGCAGCAACGCTGAAGAGGACGGATCCCGTTTGCATCGATGTGTTTTTCTGTTTTTTTTTCTTTTATTGAAAATATTTAATAACTTTAATTTAAATGTTATCTTTATCTGGGCTTAATATGTAAATGAGTTCAAGCAACAAAAAAGTCCCCAAAAAGTAGATGCGTTGGAATATAATGATCTTCTATTTTTCAATTAACTCAGTATTAAACCCCGGCCTGATTCGTTGTACGTAGCCCTGATTTACTCGCAGGAATTAAAGAAAGACACGCGCGAGGACCTTCAATGACTCTGAGTCTGTTTCTCTCAATTTCTAATTTCTAGTATTGAAGTATTGAAGTGCTCTGCCTATCAGTGTTGCATTGACCAAGTATTTGCAGTAAATACTGTGTATAAACGTTTTCAGACCAGATCATTTTCTACAGCACAGTGGTTGGGAATCACTGCTTAGTTTTCAGACCAGATCATTTTCTAATTCTGGGAATCACTGCTTAAATATTACTAAATATACATAAATATAATAATATCCTGCAAGTGTTTAAAAGTTTTTCACCAAAATAACATTTTTGGTTAACGAATCCTCTTTATCTTTGCTCAAATTTCTGATTTTCCCCCAAATTTTTTAATTGGGTTGATGACGACCTTATTGAAATGTGACTGAAAATAAAAAAAAGTAGAAAATTGAAACTATCATTAATGTTTTTTTCAGACCAATATATTTTTACACACATCATGAAACTGGCCGTTGTAATAATGGATAAACAGGACTGTTATGGTATAAACCACAAACCCTTTTTTTTTTTATTTCCTTCTGTAAATCCCTGCTGTTCTTCAATTATACCCCACGTAGTGGAAAAGTACATTTAGAACCTTCTTCATTTGCCTCCAATCAGGCTACTTCTCAACATAAACAGCAGGGGCAGACATGAGGGCTTTATCGCTCTGCGGGTGCCGAAAGATTCTGTGCTTCTCTCGAGTTTCGTTAAAGACTTGACATCTTTATCGTCCGCCTCGTATTCCTTTTTGGGGGGGTTGCGAGGGACGCTGGAAGCCAAACCCCAGCATTGATGGGGCGAGTGCGGGTCACACCCCGGACCGTTAGACCGCTTACAGCCGTACTTAAACATATGGTCAATTTAGAGTGAACAATTAACCCTGCGTGTTCTGAACTGTACCCGGTCTGTTTAGTCCGTAATTGTGAGCAGACGTTTTTTTTAGACTCAGCAGGAGGACAGTGTTTTTGGATCATTTTAGTGAGTGAGATTGCACTAAAAGTTTTCATAACAAAGATGAACGTTCGTGAGTGAGATTGCACTAAAAGTTTGCCGCGTATTTTACCAAGTTTTCATAACAAAAACCCCCTCTGCTGGGCCCCCCTTTGGTTCATAAGAGATTTTTTCGTGACCCCCTCACACAAAAAAGTAAACAGGACACACACACACACACATATATTTTGTTTTCAGATTTGTATATTTCATAATGTTACTGTTTTTACACAGCTGAAACTTGTTCATTTTATGCTAGCGTTGCTAACTTTGGTCCGTTAGCAGGAGTGAGATTCCGTGTGTACCAGCCTCTTCTCCCCCCTGCAATATCACTGCAAACCCATAGGGGGCGCTCCTCCACTTTGGGAACCTCTACACTAAGACAATCGGGTCAAAACTTTAATACTTCAGTAAAACTTCAACAAACACATTTCTCTGGAGGCGGATCGTTTTTGTTTGGTACAGATTCGCCCAGAGTCGAGCTTTGATCGGTGGGCGATGATCACAGTGATACGCTTACAGCGGCTTTAATCAGGTGCATTGTGGGATTTTCTCTTGTTATATTTCATTTATGATGTAGTTTTACAAAGAGAGAGACACACACACAGACTTTAATTGTCCAGATCGTCTTCATCTCTCTCTCCCTCACACACACACACACACACCCACAGAGAGACGCATACACACACATGAAGTCTTTGTTCACATGAGGTGATGAAATAGTTGGTGAACACAGGAAATCTGTTTCTGGACTCTGAGATAAACCCACTCCTGCTGTAGGAGCAGAGAAAAGTCCCACTGGCTTTACAGACATCTTTTATCTGTGTGTGTGTGTGTGTGTGTGTGTGTGTGATTCTCCACATTTTTTACACATTTCTTTCTCTAACGTGATAGATCTAGCCAGACTTTTGCGATGAATAGTACATTTTATGGTGATCATAAACTGCTGTGTCTTTGTGAGCGAAAAAAAAAAAATCACTTTTTTTCCGGTGGTTTTGAGGAGCAGGTGATTTACAAACGTCATCTTCCTGTTGGACCCGTTTGTCTAACGAAGAAGAACGGACTCTTTAAGTTATTGCTGAAACAATTTGAGTGCATTTTATCAGCAGGTATCTGCGGTTCCGAGCGACAACTCAATTTGGGTCCGTCTCTCTTTCCTCTGTCTCCTTCTTCTCCTCCTCAGGGCTGCTCGTCCCCCATCGTAGTCAAATTCGCAGACACACAGAAGGATAAGGAGCAGCGTCGTCTGCAGCAGCAGCTGGCGCAGCAGATGCAGCAGCTCAACAGCGCCACCACCTGGGGAAGTCTGACTGGTTTGGGTGGCCTCACTCCGCAGTATTTAGCAGTAAGAACCGCCATCACCTTTTCTTCTTCCTCTCCCTTTTTCTCACCTTCACCTCAGACGTGTCATCAACCATAAGGATGGGCGGCTTTATGTAACGTGTAATGTTTGAGCTCACCTTCACCTCAGACATCAACCATAAGGATGGACGGCTTTATGTAACGTGTAATGTTTGAGAAGTGAGAGAAAATGGCTGCCATTAAATCCGTGGCATCTAACAGGTGCGATAAAACTCACGTTCATCCAGTCAAATCTACATGAAATCCGTGACATCTTACTCACGTTCATCCAGTCAAATCTACATTTCCTGGTCAAATCGGAATATATATTTATTTTACACCGCCTTCATCCAATCTTTTTGCTGGTCTGTTGTTTTACAGCATTGGACAATCTGCTGCGTTGCGTTTCATTCATTCCATCCGCGCTCCACCCACTTTGGGAACCTCACGTCAGAACATTGATGTGAAACTACCATTCACATCATTTACACTTGCCTTCATTCCATCTCTGAAACTCTCAAAGTCTTTCTTCAAATGTGATATTGAACCATCACCTTCTCCCTTCTTCACCAGTTGCTTCAACAGGCCACCACCACCGGGAACCTGGGAGCCTTCAGTGGGATCCAGCAGATGGCTGGTGAGTCCACAGTGAAAAGCCAGAAATCATTTCTCTTGGAAAATGTGGAATATCACTGGGTCCTGTTCTTTCTGTGCCTGCTGCTCTCGTGCTGTCAATTTCCCTCTTTACAGATTTTATAAAGTCAAGCTAAGAGCGCGAGAGATGAAGTGGCGTGTCGTCTTAGACACAGAGAAGATTTATGAAGTTCGGCTCAGATTTATCTTGATCTGGTTTAATGAGGTCAGAAAGGAGTCTCTGCCTCGGGCTCTAACTGTAGTTACAGAAAAGCTTTGTCACAGACACAGAATCAAGAGAAACTGTGAAAGAAGCAGGAGGTGAAAAAAAAAACAATGACGGAAATGAAACTACGCAGAACGTTTTAGGGAAAATGCTTTGGTTGTGGCCGTGTCTCACGCTAATGCGGTATTCTCAATTATTTTTCTGTCATGCTCCCCCTAGAGGACAGAATTATCCCCCTCACCCTCTTGAATTGAAATACAACTGAGAACCTGTTAACATGTATATTTTTATCTGTACAAACCACTGCGTGAGTGCGTGAGTTGCTGCCACCTAGTGACTGGAGGCTTGTGTCACAGCAGCGGCACACTTCTGTCCAGTGTGCCATATTCCATTGGAAGCCCCTCAAACCCAACTCTCTCTGTCCCCCCTGGAACCCCGTGACCCGCATATTGAGCACCCCTGGTTTAGATCCTATAACATTCAGAGGTAGAGAGCGATAGTTATGGTAGGATTTATGGAATTTTGACTTTGTTTTCTGTTGGAGCAGATGTTGGAGCCTATAGGTTTATCTACAAGTGCGTGTGCATAAAAGAATAGGTGGATGAAAGCTGAACGTTGTCTCCGCGAGTGAAAGATCAGTAATTGGCAGAAGATGTGAAGCATCTGCTCTGAGTCTTTAATGCACCAGGAGCTGAGAGGCTTTAAATAGACTTGGATACACACACACTCTCTCTCTCTCTCTCTCTCTCAGTCATACTCATACATGCACAGCCTGGATACTGTGACTGCGATGATGGAAGTATCTCCCCGATCACAGTTATTTTTATCTTCCTTTCTTCTCAGTCTTAAAAATGTACAATCGGCGAGGGACAGTAAGAGAGAATAAGAGAGAGTGAGGGAGAGCGGTGGCGAACGAGTTGTTTCGCGAAGTGAAGAGTCAAACAGAGGTCGGATGAAAATAAGAGGGGAGAAAAAAAAGGAAGCCCCGGACAGTAACAGCATGTGTGTTTACTGTCAGAAAATCTGCATCTTCTTCTTGTGTATATGTCATTTTCCTTATTTGTGTGTGTGCAGGTGTGTGCGTGTGTGTGTGTGTGTGTGTCATGGTACGGTCAATACACAGACTGTATATACGACACACATATATCTGACATTGATGGTGTCTAACAAGTTCACGGGCCAGGGGAGGTCACTTTGTGGTCAAGCTGCGAAAACATACTCAAATACACACACTCTCACACACACACACGCACACACGCAGACTCACAATGAGGCTTAAATGTTACTGCCTGTGCGTCCACATCGTTACGGCATTCTACACTCTGTAATAGGTCTGCTACAGTACACGATTGTGGGTAAACACCAGCGCTGTGTTTAGGGAGCGACACGTGAGGGAAACAAACCAAAACAAAGAGGGCTATAGTGTCAGGGAACGAGGTATAAAGTGTTAGACTGATGATTATAGTGGAAGACTGTCATTTTATTATTCAATAATGTCAGGTAATACAACTGATTTCAAATTTAACCTGTGATTTATTTTTAAATAAACATACATTTTTTGTATTCTTTAACAAAAGAACTAACTCTAGCTAGCCAGTGAGTCGGCTTTTTTTTTTTTTCCCACTCAAACTAACTATTTCTAACTAAATTGTTGAAATGATTTCCCGTTCTACGAGAAAGTGAAGCAGGCATGAAATTTGAAGCTGCTGCTAAAGCTCACGCTGCTGATGCCAAAGCTGCCGCCGCTGCTGTTGCTGTGGCTGACGCTGCTAATGCTAACGCTGCCGATGACGCTAAAGCCGCTCCTGCGGAAGCTGCTGCTGATTCTGCTGCTGACGCTGAAGCAAATGCTGCTGCTACCAGTAAAGCTGATGCTGATGTTGATGCTGCTGCTCATGCTGCTGTCTTCACTGACTCTGGGACTAATTAGAAAAATCAGCTTTAGAAACACTGCTGACAAAGTGTCTAAAACCCACACAGTATGAGGGAGATTTTTTTTTTTGTCAGGCTTTAAATTTAAAGCAGTGAGCCACTTGGGGAGGCTCTTTAAGTTTCAATGGTAATCTCGTTAACTAAACTAAAACTAAAGTATGAAACTTCCATGGACTTTAGCAATAGCTAATAAATTGCTTGACAGTTTTAATTAATTGTTGTAATAGGTAATGGTAACTGTATCAGTTAAGTGTACGACGTCCAGCTACTCTGGGGAATCGCAGCTCACCCAACATTTACATCTTTTCTCACGTAGCAGAAGGAACATGGAGGAAATTTACATCACAAAGTATTTAAAAACAATATGTTAACGATGGTTTCATTTTTCAAAACTGCGACAAAGTATTTACCATTTAGCCCAAAAATAGTTACAGTAACATAAGCTTGGCAAACTGTTGTACAGTGGTGCCTGGGGTTGTTAGGTGACCGTGGCCATGCCCTCAGCCCCTGGCTCCTCAGGTTTGATATCGCCCTCTCTGGCTCCTCCCTCTCTCCAGGTATGAGTGCTCTGCAGTTGCAGAACTTGGCCACTTTAGCGGCGGCAGCAGCGGCGGCCCAAAACTCAGCCAGTCCCTCCACAGCAAACCCCCTGTCCTCTAACGCCGCCTCCCTGGGAGCGTTGGCAAGTCCAGGTAACGCCGTAGCCTCTCAGCTGTCACCCGGGGGCGGGGCTTTTTGACAACAACAACTGCAGCACCTGCTGTCATTCTAAAATCCATTCCCGAAAGTCATTGCCATTACTGCTGTTGCCGTAATTGAAACCATCAGGCGATCATCGTTGCAAAAACTACGCCAACTTCACTGTCATCACCATACAGTTTGACTCACCTTCACACTCATGGTGTGTGTTTTGACACGTCCACATTTGTCTTAATTTCATCCCCAGTCAGATGAGCAGCTGTTGGAGGCCATCGCCTGTAGTCTCCGAAAGGAAGACCTTATGTGGCTCCCTCACCTACATCGATCACTGTCTCTGTTTCATCATTTTCGTACAGTGTAAACAATCACATTGTGCTGCAACACACACACTGTATATGTGTGCGGGGAGTGCATGTTCTGTATGTGTGTTCTCGTGCTTTTTCTTTCTGTGCATGTGCCACTGGTTGTGTGTTTGATCTGGAAGAAGAACCAGGTGACTGTCAAGGTTATTGAATTGTATTTGCCGTTTAGTGTAGCATCATATCAACGTTTGCTTCTTCTGTTGCTAATGCTACGTGTAGCATTAGGGACATGAAATGTTATGTATTATATATAAAGCTATGCGACCTAATGATCTAATTTGTTGTTTGTGTCTGTACCAGCTGCTTTATCAAATGCTAGCTGCTCTTATAGGTTTAGCTACAGTAGCTGCTAGCCGTTTGCTACAGTAGCCTCTAGTGTAGAAAAAAGGACTCACAAAAATTACATTGGATTCATTGACTAGACCTGACTTTATTGATTAATTAAGGTCTGTAGCTTTGGTAGCTGCAAGTTTCTGTTGTTACTACTGTACCTCAACGATGCTACTTCTTACTGCTGTAGCTACAGTTGCTAGCAGCTACATTTACAGCTTTTGTACTGGTTACTCTGGTGTCAAAGATTGACACCTACGGTTTAACTGTGTTCAGATGGTCATGCATGTTAGTTGTGTGCTTCCTTGTGATTAGAAATCATCCGGTCAAATTAATTTACCTTAAAAGTTCCATTTTATCCTCGCCCTTCTTCATCCTTCCCTTCAGCTATTTGTTTTGTTGTTTTGACAAACTTCCTGTTTCTGTTGCATTGTCTTGACTTTCTCCGAGCAACAGTCGGTATTTCTCAATTTAGTATATTCTTCTGTTATCTCAACATGAAGTGCTTATTCATTGTGCGTTCACACCAAAAGCAATATTGTATAGTATTGTACGTAAATGACGCGACAGCGTGCGATTTAGACACACCGGATGCGAGGCGGATGAAGCGAAAAGGCGTCTTGGGCGACTTGAATGAAGTTGGAAAAATGTAACTTTTCACACAGCGTCGCCCAGTGCCAACCAATCAGTGACAAGTTTATCCTGACGTCACCTCGCTGAAGTAAGCAGATACGTTTGTAAACGTTAGCGAACAAGTTAATCGACGTGTGTGGGCAACTACAACCGCTGCTACGTCTTATCACGAAATTCACCCAACTAAGTACCAGACACGGCAGCGGCGAGTGGCTTTACCGACACTTCTCGTATAGTAGGTGCAGTGTAGCGGCTTATTATCGCCATGTTTGGGCACCAACACCACTGCTACGTTTTATCGATACCACAATAAAAAGAGAAGAGGCATGTGCTAACGTTAGCCAGGAGGTGGGAGTCGCTGGTAATTTGTGAGACTCTCTGTGGCTCGTTTTACTACTGTAAGGCACCGCCGGAACCGTCTAGAGCAGGTTGAGAAATGAGCGGATGAATAACACTTCCTTCAAATATTTTTAGCATCTGGGGGTGCGAAAAGCGTGTGAGGCTATGATTAAAAGTGATGAAATGGCGCGATACAGGCGTTTCAAGTTTTTTACCGCTTTTGGTGTGAACGCGGCATACGGGCACGCGCAGTCTTGTTTATGATGCCAGTTCCACTTTTCTGTCCCACCTCACGCCCTCCCCCCTTACACTTTTCACCTTCCCTCTCTCATTTTAGCCTCACTCCTTTTCATTTTCTTCATGAACCTCTAAATTAGACTCATCTTCACTGCTACACGCACAGGTCACACCTTAACGGTGGGAACAGGTGTCTTTGTGTGAATGAAGCATTAAATAAGGTTAGGTCGATCAATTTAGCTTTGTCTGCATTACGCAAAGCCGAGTGTTTGTCTTTATGTGAAGCCTTTTACGTTTCACTCTGTCTTGTGGCTGTGAAGCCTTGGAGTTAGTGAGTTTTGAATGCTTTTTTTTAATAGTAGCTCTGTGTCATCAGCTTTGTGTAAAGTGTTTCTTCTATCATGTCAGGATAATATATTAAGGCTAGTACATACTTCGCAGGAAAAGAGAAATTTGTTCTCTCTTCCATGACTGTGAAAAGAAAATTGGTATCACACCTTTCTCTCAGCGCTGGTTTGAGAGTTATCGTAGCTTGTTCCTGACACATAATCTGGGAGGATTTTTTTCTTCCCAGATGATGTGTCAAGATGGTGTCCAACAACTATTGATTTGAAGATGATTTGGTTAACTCTTATTGAGTGGTCTAACATACCACATTCTTTTTTTTTTTTTTTTTTTGGTCCTTTTTTTTACTCTTTCCTTTTTCCCCAACAATCACACATTTTAACAACAAATCTTCCCCTCCGTTCTGTAACAATATGTTTGATCTCCTCCTAGAAGATCATACCAAGCATCGTAGAATGCTTAGTGGACGTGACGTGTAGTGTAGTGGGAGGGTCCTAAAAAGATTTCCCAGAAGTAAAGTAAGAAATTTCCTAACCAGAAAAAACAAGAAGATAAACACATTTCTTCCTTTCGGCCAAGTATGTACCAGGCTTAAAACTTTTGCATGCAAGTTGTATACTTAGTTACATCAACAACCTCTCTTGAATAGATGAAAGTTTGCAGTAATTATTAATTCTGCAAATTTGATGACCCTCTGTAGGGCCACATTGAGAATAAAAAAGTTTATAAAAATTCAGAGATTAAAGTTGGAAATGTATAATATATAAAGTCATAATGATTCAAGAAAAAAAATCAAAACCTTATGAGAAAAAAGTTGTTAATTTATGAAGTCTTTATTAGTATAAACGAGCACGTCGTCAGTCTAATGCTTTTCTCTCGTTTCCTCCAGAACACGTCATTTTTGACTTGGTGTTTAACTTGATCTTGTAAAATTATGACTTTATTCTTATAAATTAGGGAATTTTTTCTCTTAAGGTTACAGTTTTTCTCGTAAAAATACCTCTCTTTTTCATAACCTTCTCAAATTGGTGCTAATACGACAGCCTAATTTCCACAAGAGGAACATCTCTCTTGTCTTGTATTGATGTGTATTGAAGTGGTGTACCAGTACGCACCTAGTACTGTACCTAGTACAGAGAGAAAGGTGGAAAGACGTGTATGTCATTTATTAACAAGCTACTACACAACCCGAAACTGTACCGAGCGGTTGGGTAGGATTACCGTTCCACTTCTAGTACTGATGGTTATAACGCATCTGCTTTATCTCCAACTCCTGCTCTCTCCATCCCTCCATTCCTTTTCCTTCTTCTTTCTTTTTGTGGTCAGCAGGTACCACAGGCAACTCCAGTGCCGGGGCCATGAACTCTCTGACGTCTCTGGGCACCCTGCAGGGCCTGGCAGGGGCCACTGTGGGCCTCAACAACATTAATGCACTAGCAGGTAGCATCAACAGTGAGTATTCACCCAGCCATCAGCCACTCCACACCTCCATCAATCATCATCTCCCAGCATACACTGCTGACCCGACAACAACAGCATCAGTTCTCGTAGTACTCTATCAAAATATATGTATATATTTTTTTAATTTGTAAAAATGGCTCACATCTTTATTTCTCAGTTAAACTGACAGAAATATAGTTTTTAACCAATCAATCTTCACGATAGGGTCAAGGGATGTGAAATGATAAGAATTTAGCAATTCCGCTTCAATAACGATATCGCTTATCATTTTAATTCTTCATCTATTTTGTTGCCGACTCTTATTGTCTAAGCTAAATGAAAATTTCTACAAAAGGGTTTGTTGCATTAACTCTTTCTCTCTAAAGTGTACATTACAGTCACTTTTGGCTTTTGGTTTGGACAAAGATAGAACTGCATGAAAACAACAGTAGTAAGAAATGTATAAATAAATCCGTTGTTGACTCCACCTTAGTGACTTTGGAGGTTCTACGAACTCCTCCTCACCATCTAAATATAAAATGATGCGGCAGTAAAATTAAAGGCGTGTAATGCATATAACACATAAATATGTTTATATTTATAGAAAAATCTTACAACAAAGATCTCCATCCAACAACTCATACTTTTCTTCTTAATCCGTTCATTTTTCATGTTTTCATCAGCTTCCTGGTTGTGTCTGGGGTTTTGCTTCTGTTAGAAACACAGTTGTGACGTCACTTCACGTGTAGAAATGTGTAATGAAGGTGTAACCATTCTCTCTCTGTTTTTTCGTGTCTTTTTGTCATTCATATCTGGGGTTCAAACATTAGATGTGAACAAATGGGGAAAAAACTCACTTTGGTGCCTCGGTATAAAATTGTTTTGTGAAACGACGACTGATGTGCAGATGAGATCTGGGATTGTAAACAGATGCAACAGTTTCATCTGACCTTTTTCTATAAAACAAAATCTATAAAAATTTGGCTTGGTTAAAAATGGTGCCAAACAACGTGCGCTCACTTCTGCCCTTTAGTGGCCAGTAATCACAGCAGGTATTAAGTTGCGTCCTGTTTTTGACCTCCATGAAGACGGCTGTGGGAGCTTAATCAGATCCCGTAGCACGGAGCGTATTATTCTCCTCTGACCTTTACGGAGTCGCTGTAGCCAATGTGTAAATCTCACATACACTGTACGTGCTAACGTAACCAGGCTAACATGGCTGCTAACAGAGGACACATGTCCACAGACGCTCACACGTACACATCGTTGCTCTTCCTGCATTAAATTTCCTCCTCCTCCTCCTCCTCCTCCTCCTTATCGACTGGCCTCATTTAAACACATCTAGGCCTTAATTGAATCTCAAAGGTCAGCAGTGCAATTATTCTTGAATAAATGAGTGACCTATGATGTGTTGCAGCTCAGTGGTGGCAATTTATTTCACTGTGTGAGACCGAGGCAGTGACAGCACACTGAGGCTGGAGTCAGACACCCTGAGACAAGTTCACCTACCAGCCCGTATTAGGACATTACACGCAGCTAATGAGTCTATTTCCCGGCCATTTTTAACCTTCATCTTTGCTCCGTCTGACTTTCTCTGCACCCCTCAAGTCACATGTCCGGGCAGGATAACAATATGACCACACACCTCTTTGCGACTGTTGCTGCTACTTTCTTAGAATCCTGCTGTGGAAATTAGCCTGTGAATTACGTTATTCATTTGTGAAGATGAATCGACTTCAGTAGAGTTCAGAATGGCACACTGTATATTCAACCATTCCACTGTACATCTATAATACACCGTCAGTAGACATGTTCTCTATGTACACACACTGTGGAAGCTTAAAAAAAATGACTCCTGATTGATTATGATCACTATTAATCATGATTAATCGCGATTAGTTCACAGCTAGCCTGTGATTAGTCAGATTAAAATCTTTAGTCATTTCGCAGTTGTACTTTTAATTGCGATGTCCACATTCAAACGTTATTACGAATTGTTTGAAGCAAAATTTAGTCATGAATATCTTTTTATTTATATATATATATATGTATATATATATATATATATTCATAATTCCTTCTTTTTATCAGTTGTAAAAAAGAACCAACCAGGTGTTTATTTCTGTACCAGCACTGTACAGGAAAAACAGTCCTGATTGATCACGATCACCATAGATAGATAGGTGTAAAATAGGAGCGTAAGCCAATCAGGAGCTAGAGAGCGTGTTGACATACAAGCAGAAGAAAAAACACGATTTTTCGACTTCTCCTGGGGGGGGAGACACGACTTGTGCCACTCACGCCGTCATGTCGTTTATCTGTTAATGCTCTAGTTTGTGTGAGTGTGTGTGTGTGTGTGTGTGTATACATGCACAGTGTTGGCTGTCATTAACTTTCCTCATACTGAAAAATGTGTATTAACTGAAACTGTACGTGTTCGTGTGTGTCCTGTGATCTCATGTGTGTGTCCTGTGATCCCTGTGATCTCATGTGTGTCCTGTGATCTCGTGTGTGTGTGTGTGTGTGTCCTGTGCTCTGAAGTGTGTTCAGATGCATAGATTCAGTTTGTTTGGTTTTTTTGTGACTATAAGAAATGGATGAAGCTGAAAAGAAGAGGATTGTAAAAACCTCTTCTGGTGCATTCAAGGGGACAGGCCTCGAACTAGTCAGTGAGACGTTTGATCACAAATTTACATAACTGCCGACATCCTTAGCCCCTAGGATTTTCTTTGTAGTCTATCTTTGAAACCATCGTATGGAACGATGTCCCACAAATTTGCTGCTATACAATCTTTTTTTCAACATTATTTTGAGATTAAATGAACCACAGAAATTGCAACCTTTCAATTGCAATAAAGTGTTATTTTTTACAATTCGCAAATTTCGCATTGGTACCTGAATACTCCTCACATTTCCTATGGTACCTGAAAGCACTGACAGGGATTGTGCGGTTGTGACGCCTTTGCGATGTAGCTAACTGCAGTTCTGCGAGTGCACACCATATTGTGGTGTTTGGTTTATATTTTCTTTGTCAACCAAACGCCTCAGTGAGTGTTGACTGCTGGGATACAGGCTCTTGTTTTTCCCAGCCAGGAAAACTGGGTTGGTGGTTATGTTTTAGGTTGACATGCACAATTGTTGCATTGCCTTTTTTTTGTTGCCTGTACTATTGAGCAAATACAGCATACTGGCTCGGTCGTGTTGCTGCACGATGTTTGAACAAACGTGGTCAGAGACCGATGCACTGAGTGCACCCTCGGCATCCCGCCCGTTTGGGGGCGAGAGGACAATAAATTGATTTATTGATTACCATCTCAGTTGTGGATGTTTTGACCTAAAGGTCAGGGTTGGGGTTTGGCATAATAAGTGGTTAGGGTTAGGGGTTCAAGCCCTAGAGGAACCACATACTCAATGGCGCCTCCTGTGGTAGACGGTGTGTGTTGCAAAGACTCACACTGTGGGTATCCCCAGTTGTAGGATGAAAAAGGATGAGTTTGAGTTGCTTAAAGATTTTGGTTAGATTTTTCTTACTTTTAGATTCTACAGCTGCACAAGAAATTTCAGCTTCCTAAACAACCTTTAGTAGTTGAGGACCGAGAGCTCCATCTATTTCTTATTTGTGTCTGACGGCATGGTCATCTCTGTGTCTGTGTGTGGTTTAAAAAAAACACAACCTTGAGTGGGAGCGCTAATGAGTAAGTGCATTCTTCTTTCTTTATTGTTGGGTTTTATGTAAAGTTGCTCAAATGCTCTCAGGTATGGCGGCTCTAAACGGAGGCCTGGGCGGCGCAGCACTCACCAATGGCACGGCGGGAACCATGGACGCACTGACGCAGGCTTACTCAGGGATCCAGCAGTACGCCGCCGCAGCGCTGCCCACCCTCTACAGTCAATCCCTACTTCAGCAGCAAGGGGCCGCCGGTAGCCAAAAAGAGGGTGAGCGGCATTGTTCAGACACAGGTGTTTGGGTCTGAGGACAAAACTGAAACAAGTGGTGTACTTTACTTCAAAGATGACACAGGGCATCTAGAACTTCTGCTATTAGTACCAGGAAATACAATATACCACTGCATGAACGTGTACTAGGGGTTAAGGAGGTTAGGGATTTAAAAGAAAAGTATCACGGCAGGTCCTACTACCATAATCTAGGGACAAGACCATAGCTAGTTTTCACATGCTTCTTTATTAGGACGATTATGGCTTGACTTTTAATTAACCAATGTATAGAGTAATATTTACAGTCCATTCTATACACGGCTTAGATGGCTATTTCCATGGCTTTTCTATGCCCGAAGGTAGTACATACTACTACAAATCAAGGTAGGAAGTACTGTAGTAGTAACGACTTTGCAAAGTACCCAGGCTGCTATTCAAAAACTGATCTAATAATTTTCCTGGATTTCCACGATGGTGTGTAATAATAGGCAGACGTCTGCATCACTGAAATATTCTGGAAATTTGGTGCATTAGAAATGATCAAAGAAGAACAAAATCTTCCCTGTGATGCTCAGTACAGTTTCTTTAAGAAGCAGAACAAAAGACCAGTCCCAACATTGTACCTTTTATTCCTTTTTTTTTCCCCTTTGGCTCATATGAAACCCTGCTTTCTCCTGCCAGGTCCAGAAGGTGCCAACCTGTTCATCTATCACCTGCCACAGGAGTTTGGAGACCAGGACATCCTGCAGATGTTCATGCCTTTCGGAAACGTGGTCTCAGCCAAAGTCTTTATCGACAAACAGACAAACCTTAGCAAGTGCTTTGGTACGTAGTCAGAGTGAAAATGAAAACCAAATATTTGCTCGTATTCTTGGTTATTTTTGAACATCTGGTTGACTGTCCACTGTCATGTGTGATGCTTTAGGGTATGTAGGTTAGTCAGACGAATCCCTGTACTACTCAAGTGTGAGAATTCCCCCAGCAGTCTAGGCCTAAAGCAGGAATAAAAAGAAAAGCTAGTTCAGTCTGTACATAAACTAAGCCTCTTTTTTTTTTAAAGTTAAGTTAAAATAGTTAGTTATCTAGTGCAGGGGTGTCAAACTCATTATGGTTCACAGGCCGGATACAACCTGATTAGATGTCAAGTTGACAAAAACAACTATAACGATGATGATGATTAACTATAAATAACATTGAAACCCATGGTTTTAATGCAAAGAAGTACAAGTATTTAAGATATTTATTGTTATTTATTCATGTTCAATTGAATATCATTTCACAAAAAATAACCTGAACATGAAGTGTATTTTTCTTACTTTCAAAATTTGTCAAACAGGGCCAAAATGAACACCCTCGCGGGCCGGTTTTGGCCCACGGGACGTAAGTTTGACACCCCTGATCTAGTGTAAAAGATACGGTGAGGACCAGTGTTGATCCAAACTGAACCCACAGCTGTGATTACACTTTTTTTTCCATTTGCTGTTTCCATTAGGCTTCGTCAGCTACGACAATCCAGTGTCGGCGCAGGCGGCAATCCAGGCCATGAACGGCTTCCAGATCGGCATGAAGCGGCTGAAGGTGCAGCTGAAGCGCTCAAAGAACGACAGCAAACCGTACTGATCTTAGCGCTTAGGCTCTTTCTGCTTACCATGTTAGCACTGCTAGGGTAAGTCCCCCCCAACCAAAAAAAAAAGTAAAAACTGTTTGTTTTTTCTTAAAAAAAAAACAAAAAAAAAACAACAACAACAGAAGCAGCAGAAAAAAACGAGCCACGACTTACGTTTCTACAGAATCTGGTGTGAAAAGGGAGGGAGCGAACGAGGGAGGGAGGCGGGGAGGGGGAGACAACCTACAACCACATGCCGTCTTTTGAATTTTTTCATGTTAGATTTCAGGTTTTATTATTTATGACATTTTTAACACACATAAACACTTCCATTACTGTCTTTACTTTGTGCATTTTTTAACAGCTTTTATTATTTAAAAAAAAGATAATGATTTGGGTGATTATGTATACATTTTTACAGGACAGGTTACAACCTGAACAGAATAGAGCCATGAGATATATATATATATATATATTTTCTTTCCCACAATGTGAACCCAAGGTTTGTCTTTATTAGGTATTATAACTCTTTTGTTTTGTTATGCTGATATGCACATTTGCCCTTTGACGTCTGCGCTGTTACCCGCAGGCCGTGCTGCTTTTTCACACAAAAAAAACAAACCCTATCTGCCTGTTGGCTTCCCGCAAGCAAAGGCTGCAAAAAAAAGTGGCCTCTTTGACAGCATTTATTTATATAACTATTCATATTGTTAGTTGTAGTTACACTCCTCCATCACAAAGATACACTCAGCTCAGTCTATGTATTAATATGAAGGAAAAGAAAATGTTTATATGACAGAAAATTAAAGAAATTCTATATTGCTAACTACTTTTCTGTTGATGCCGAAATTACATTTAAAATGCTACGGTTTTGAGAGTATCATTATCATATGAGTTATACTAGGGAGGGCGCCACTGAGAGTACTTGGTGTTCATTTGGTTTGAAGGTTTTAAAAAAAAAAAAAAAACCAAAAGGATTCAAATCATGCTAAGTATAGAAAAAGTCACAGGTCTGTATTTTTTTTTTTTTTTTTGTAAAGAAAAAAAAGCAGTTCTATTTTTCTATAAAATTTTTACTGCCTCAGCTGATTTTTAAAAAAAGGAAAAATTTATTTATTGCCTTTACTATTAAATCGTATTGGACTAATTTATTCAACTTAAATAGTATTTAATTCAAATTTAGTTCCGCCAAGAAGTTGAATTTCTTTTTCATGTCAATCACATGTTTTTCAAACGAAAACGAAGCCTATTCAAACACACGTGTTCATCCATCTCTCATTTTTTCGTTTTTTTTGTTCCTCACGTTTTTGCTGTTTTTCTATTCTTAGTGAAATGTTTTTTTTTTGTTATTACAGTATTTGTTTGTTTGTAAACCTCACGATCACGATCTCTCAGCTTCATTCAACTCCACTCTATTAGACATTTATTTAAAAAAAAAAAAAAAAGGAAATAAATGAAAACCGTCAACCACTTTGTCCCAAATGACTAAATCCATCTGGGACATGATGGATGAAATTTGGGTTGTTTTTATTTTTTAATGTTGTTTACATGTAGACGAATGAGTGAGTGAGTGTGTTTTGTTGCTCGTTAGGACGGATAGAATATCACGCTACAGGGCAGGAACAGAAGGTTCCAGACTAAAATGTTTGGGCTCCAAATTAAAAAAAAAAAAAACCTCAATCAAAGATCTACCTTTCAAAGTATTTTTCTTAGAGCAAGGAAGTTCAGCAAAAGTCTAGTTTTCAGTTATTAAAAAAAAAAAAGCAATTATTTTGAGTCATTTTGAAGAGTTACATTTGATGCTTGATTTACTGAAAGGATTTTGGATTATTCTTAGGCCTTCAATTTCAGAAAATAATTTCTATAACTGCTGTTTTTCTTTCCAATTTATTTTTATAAAACGGGTAAAAGCAGATAATTATGATTTATTACCATGTTGTGCTCTCATTTTTTTGTCCTAATTTACTTGATCTGCAATTCAATTTTATTCTAGTTGTGTCTGACTAGTGCTTTTAATTTGGTCACGATAAAGTAATCAGTGAGTGTTACTGACGATTTTAATACATTTTACAGATTTCTTTCAAGTTGAATTAAACTAAAACAAGTGAGACAAATGAATAAATCCATAAAAAAATGTCATTATAAAATTACATTTTTCTTTATTATCTTTCTGGATAGAGTTTTACAATAAATATGCGATATTATTTTTAGGCTTGTGTTTCGTGTTGGCATAAAATGTCACGCTCTGTTTACTTTAAGTTAAATGTAGATTTTTACAAGAAAAAATCTGGAGCCGTAACAAAATCCAACTCAGATTCAAAAACTGCCAGTAGACCAGTTTGTGTCGTCGTTGCTTCTTTGTTGTTTCCTGTTGTTTCCTGTTGTTGTTCCTCTTAATTTTTTGAAAACGAAAATTCTGTTGCTGTAGTGTTGTTGCGTGTTGTTCTCACTTTCTTTGTGTAACTTTTTCCTCTTCCCTGTTTTTTTTCTTTTTTCTCCCCTTTTAGAACAAAACCATCTCCATGCCTGTTAGCTCATCGTTTGACTAGCATGTCCCTGTGGTGTCCAAACAAACAAAACAAAACAAAAAAATTTATTCAAAAACAACAAAAAAACAATACCCCAACCAAAAAGTGTCATCGCCGTCCTTCTTCTTCTTCTACCCCGTTGTTTTTTTCCCCGAGATCACCTGATCATAACCTGCTTCTCTTCCTTCTTCACCGCCTACTGACGTTTTTTTTGTTTTGTTTTTTCTCCGATTTTTTTAAGAATATTTTTCGCTTTTACCTTGGGTTTTTTTGTGTGTTTTTTGTTGGTGTAAAGTTTTTTAGCATGTGACCTCATTTGGACTTTTTTTTTTGGAAAGAGCGTTGACGTGAGGAAGGAAAACGAATCAATGTGAAAATTATATAAAGCTGCATTCTTATGAAAAAACCAAGACTTTTATGAATTTATACGGGGAAAAAAAGTGTTCTTTTTGAAGGAGAAAAAACCTGTGGCAGAGCGACTTCCATTAGTCTGTTTTCTTGACTTTTATTTTCTCTTTTTATGTCCTTTTTTGTTTGTTTGTTTGTTTCTCTTTTTTTGTTTGTTTTTTTAATTTAAAGTAAACTTGAAAGTTCACATCAGGAATTGGCGCATCACTTCGCTTCTGGTAACGATGAGGTTAAAAAAAATTTAAAAGAAAAGACGTCACGTACACGAACCAGAAGCGGTCAGCGCCAGTTTCTCTGAGAAATAAGACTACTTCCAAACAGTTTTTTTGAAGAAAAAAAACTGTCTGATTATCAATATTAGACTCTTTCTCAGAGCTCTCTAATGGTTTTTACATTTTTCAGGCAGTGTAAAGTTTTTTGATAAGGCCATTTTAAGTGGCCCTGTTTCTCATTCAAAGTCTATATATAGAATCACTTTTTTCTAGAGTAGTTTAAAGGTTAAAAAAAACAGGAAAAAAAAAACATTTGCCCTGTTTGGTGGGGGAGAAATGCTACCTACTTGTGTCACCTTTTTGCTGAACTGACTCACAGATAGACAATCCGTGGTTTAAAATGCACATGATCAAATGACCTATATTTTCTACTGTTTAAATGTATAGAGGTTAAAAGAAAAACTAAAAAGAAAAAATTACTACGATACCTGTAACCCGCATTAATGTCGGTGCTTCTTGTGAGTTTAGTTCAAGTCTAACAGTCTTATATGTCCGATGTTTTCTTTTTCCAAGAAAAAAAAAATCAGTTTACTTGAATAATAGATGAAGCCTTTCACATGACGATAATTGTTTCGGTTATTTTTTCTTTTTTTCACTTCCTTTTTTAAAAAAGGAGGCCCAATTTGCTCAAAAAAAAAAATCTTGTTGGTTTATTAGCTATATAAAATTCTTAAAAATATATATAAATATAACTATATATCTCTATATATATATACAGTATATATATCAATATATGAAATGTCAGCTTGTGAAGCATCAATGTCATTATTATTTTGTTTCTCTCGTGAGTTTTAAACAATATTTAGGTGTGTTTTGTTGTTTGGCAAAAATGTCTTATAATATAAAGATTAAAAAAAAAAACCAGATGAGATCAGTGGAGTTTAGTGCCAAATCCTGAAGGTACTTCCTGCCTAGCGCGTCAGTGTATTTCTTGTGTAATGATTTGATAAACATGGGTATTTTATTAATCAGTGTTTTGTATTGATCCTCATATTTAAAGTATAGATTTAAAAAAAAAATGGAGTTTGTTAACTTGCTATTCTGTGGTCTTGTTGCCTGAAAATGTCATGTTTGCTTTTCTTTTACTTCTTTGTAAAATTGTACAAAAAGTGCCCATGTGTCATATATACATATATATACATATATCTATATACACACACACAAACACACCGATTGGTACAGACCTCACAACTTTTTCTTTGTTGCTACGTGAAGCCCCTGAGTGTGATGACGCCTCTACAGCGACCCCTATGGCCCACGCACACATGTGCACATGCACTCACGCACTGATATTTTTAGCCATTGTACAGCCGTTGGACTCATCAAAAGCCTTACCACTGATCTTTGCACTGCTCTTTTCTTGCTGTATTAGTATCTCACATATACAAATGCACGCACGCACTCACACACAGGCACATGTGCGCAAATGTCGGGCTTATGTGATGAGTGTTTGTCATTGTTAGTGTGTGTTTTTATTTTTCTGCTCTCGCGCTTTGTCACAGCTGCCACGTAAAAGTGAGACGCGAGAGTCACGTACGCTAAGCCTTACTCTCACTAAATTTAGTGTCGTAGACAGCGCCGTTCGTGGTCTTGGTGGTGTCGTCATCATCATCATCATCATCATCATCATCGTCGTCTCCAACGTTTGTATTGCCCCATATTGACTAAAATGTACTTGCTAGCTTTCAAGGTGTTAGCGCAGGGAAGGGTCATAGACTTCATATAGTCGTAAAGATGGACTAACATTTAAATGACGGCAAGAGAGCGACTCGGCGGGATTAGGTCCTGAAATGAAGCCACGTTACTCTTTACGATGTCGGTAAAGATTTGCGATAATTCTCTTCAGGTGTTCCGGTCCTCGTTTAAATATGACACCAATGTCGTGGATTACAAATCCCTTTTTACGAAGTTAGACGACAGAAAAGTCAAACTTGATTGACAGAAGGCTAGAAGAGTGCGTGTAAATCTAAAATAATAGCTACGAGAACAGAGCCTTGTGGAACCTCATTTTGCATATTGGTAATTAGAAGGAAAACGTCGTTAATAGACGTGCGTTCACAGCACATTGATGTCATTAACGATAAAATCAAACTTAACTGTGTTAATCTGGAATATTATGGCTACGAGAACGGAGCCCTGTGGAACCTCGTATTTTTGCATATTCTAAATTCAACGGAAAACTTCGCTAATAGACATGTGCGTCCACAGCACATTGATGTCATTAACGATACAGTCAAACTTAACCACGTTAATCTGGAATATTGTGAGTTCGAGGATAGAGCCCTGCGGATGTATGTTCTTACACATCTTAATTTGACAAAGGCGATTTCAGTAAGGTTTGAGCAAATAGTACTGCACGTCAACGGTATACATGGTATTAATCAAGTTTACAAGGTTATGAATATTAGGGACTTTTGTTACTTCATATTTTAACGCTAACTGCAGACAACAAATTTTGTGATTGTCGGAGCACGGCGGTACAAGGAGGTCTTTACACGTTTTAAATTCAAGAGTCGACTTTAGTTTTTCTTGTATATACAGTCTACAGTCGATGAGATGAGTTTACTCACAAAGGTAAAAGCACACTCCAGTATTCATAACACAGGACGGTTCGGAAGCTAATGTTCATTCGTTAATTTGACTCTTTATGTTGTTAAATTTAAAGATGCGTATATTTCATGGTTAAATGGGCCAAAATTGTGTTCCAATGCCAAAGTGTGGTGATGACATTCTCACAGTCTGAACGTTTACATGACACAATGTTGTCAAGTCAAAAACAACTGCCCCCTGTCTTTTTAAACCTCGCCCCCTCCCTGAAAGTTTACGATCTGCAAAAAAAAAAAAAAACATGGAAAAAAAAACATAAAAAAAAAAATAAAAGAACCACAGGCAGCATTATTTTTTACAGAAGCTCACCACTGGCCTTAAACAGGGAGCCTCATATCAGTATTTAAAAGAGTCAGAGATGTTGTTGTCGGTCGTCACTTCTTACTTCTGTCAGCAGTTACTTTTGAATTTGTCCCAGTCAGGACTTTCACTCTCTGCCCATTTCATCTGAATGATGAATCCTGAAATGGCTGTTTGTCCGCACAATGGACAACAACAAAGAGGGTGGGTGTATTTATTGAAGGCTGCTGCTGCTCTCTGTCTGGGTGTTGTCTCCCAGGCTGATGGAGGTTTTATTAAAAAACAGGTCAGTGTTTGGAGAGAGAGGCATCTTATTGCACCGCTGACAGGGGAAATAAAGTCTATTACTCGATGGTCGGAGGAACAAAAGGGTCACGTTGGCAGGTTCCGCTCAAATGAGAACATGTGAGACGGCAGCGTCATCAGCATAGACAAAAACAAAACCTGACCTAGTGGACAGAAGTAAGAAGACCTTAATGCAGTGTTGCATCCGTGCACAATTTATATTCCAAGTCTCAGAGCAAAGAGTGGATGTGCGGGCGATATGTGTCGCGTCACGTACACTCAGTATAGAAGTACCGCCCCTCAAACCCATCTCCTGCCAAACGTCCAGATGAGAGTTGGGGGTCTGAAAGCAGGTCAACCAAAGGTGTCCGAGTCCAGTCCACCCCTACTGACCGGACCGGGCTTTGTGAGCAGCACATTTTCACGATCTCTCCACTCACTCTAGCACAACTTCTATCTGTCAAACCGGCAGGTGTTTTTTCCCTGTACTGTTGCGTACACCGCCAAAATTTCACAGAGTTGCCCGCAGTCTTTTTTGTCTTGGATGTAGAAGCACAAGCAGCTTGTAGACGCAAAGTTTTCACCTCAGGGGCTTTCACCACCGATGCTCGTAGTTATTTCTCTATCTGGTCACTGTTCTCTCTCTCTCTGTTCTCTTTCTTTCTTAATTATCTTAAGTGCTATTTATCAAAACAATGTAACCAGAAAGGACAAAAAAAAATGAACTTGTTGTTTCTTTGCATTATGGCTAATTATGTCAACTTTTTTGGCGGAAAAAATGTTTTGCGTGTTTTCCTATTTCTGTGCTCATCGTCCGTAGGAATTCTCCGATATACTTTGATTGATGTCGTTTTTGTTTCTCAGAAAGTCGTTTCTCGATTTGAGTAGTTTCAAAGTAAATGTCTCGAGAGAAGCCAAAGTCGATGCATTTCAGTGGATCCTGTACAAGCGTTAATGTCGATGTTTGTTGACAACAGTTCAATCTGTCACTGGATGGTATTTAAAAAAGTACAAAAAATGCAGGCTTTCTATTTCTACAACTGATTGTACTTATGCATTTTGTACCAGTGGATTTTTTTATACTGGAGATTAAAGGATACAACAAAAAACAAATACCACAAAAAAAAGTTTGTGGTCTGGTGGTTCCGCCTGATCCCGACTGGAGTATGATTTCTAACTGGAACCAAGAAAGATGGCTTTTGATAATAAGATTTTCTAGAAGATCTTTGGCTTTTTTTCTTCTTTCTCTTCTGGTTCTTCACTTGAGTGTTTCGTTGTCCTTCTTTCTTTGTTTCTCTCTCTCTCTGTCTTTTTTTTATTATTATTATTTCAGTTCATGATTGATTTTTTTCCACACTGTAAAACAAAAAAAGTTGAGAAAACTAAAAAAGGAAATTCAACATAACATAGGCGAGTCAACCTCTGATTGACAAGTATCAGAAAAACAAAGAAAAGTTGACGCTGACTTTTAGAAAACAATAATAACAAAAAAGAATTTTTAAAAATGACAATTAATACATTTCAAAATGTTAGCAAATATATTTGAGCACTATCAGACCAAATTTACATGTATTACGATTTTTTTTAAATCTGAGAATCATGTTGAAAATTTTCAAAAAATATCCCCATTTTATTCTAAAAAAGTCAGTATTTTTTTTTTCTTTTCTCAACTCTATTTTTACAGTGAAATACTGGTGAATGTCAGCAAGTTAACTTTTAATTTTCAAAATTTGGTCTGCTCGACAAAATGTGGTAGCTCGTTTGTCTGATACAACAGCGGAAAGTTTAAATTTTTTTTTCCTGAATTTGTGTCGTCTACGAGACTTTAGACAATTATGGAAAAAGAAAGGAATAGAAATATTTAGTCACCTTCGGTGGATTCATGTATAAGTTTGACCAACAGTTTGACTGATTTAAAGGTTTGATTTGCTTTTAGCTGTTAGCACAATTTTTCTCTGTCCTCCTGTGTGAACTAACTGTGTAGCTGAAGCCGAGTCAGAATTATTTTTGTAAACGTATGTTCTTGTGTGATGCAGTTTTTTGCTTCTGTCTTCTATATTAAACCATTTTTCCTAATACTCGTCTCTCTCTGTGCTGTTATGTGTTGTCAGATTTTGTCGACTTCCTTCCTCTCCGCCATTTTCTCCTAGTTTTTGTACGTTCTCCTCCTCTCTCACACTTATGTTTCACTTTTCTTTTTTTTTGTACCACATTAGTAACTTTAAGAGAAATGTTGTTCTCACCAAACATAGTAAGTTAGGGATGTCCAATAATATCGAATGACCGATATTATCAGCCCAATATAAGAGTCATTATGTATCTGAATGAATTGTTATTGTTTCTTCCTCTGATAATGAAAATCCGATAACGCAATGACTGGGATTCGCCAAAAACACTGGAATCGCTTGTTGGGTCCTGAGACGTTTACTGCAGTTTTAGAGGAAACGACTGCATATATTGGCATTGGTTGATATCGGAATCGGAAATTAAGTGTTTTGGACAAAATCGACATCGCGGATTTTAGCAAAAAGTTAATATCGGACACCCATAGTAAATCCAAATGTTATTGTACGTATATTACTACATCTAACTGTCAGGCCGTAAGCTACGTAGCTACCCTTCTAACAACAAGCGGTATTAGTGTTATAGCGCCATCTATATGGATCTTAGTATTAGTTACAATACTGGACAGCTTAAAAAATATTTAAGCTTTTATTTTATCATTGTATTGAGTTTTTTTTTCCTCTCTTCCCTGTACCACTGAACGTTGTCCTGAGCCAGGCCTGTCCACTGTTTGTCCACTCTGTGTTTAAATTCACTGACGTTCTGTGTCACTGTCACCGCTGCAGAGAGAGAGAGACAGAGGAAGGAAAGAAAAGTCAAAAACATTCAGACAAACGAGACGAAAACATGATTTATCTTCCACCACACACCAGAACAATGTCAATGACATTAATGGAGTATATTTGTCTGTATAACTGTCTTTTTAAAAGTATCGTTGACATGTTTACGGTAATATGGACTACCGTAAATGCTGTGTAAATCATCAACCCTCCCCAGGCGGACAGAAGTTCTTTTCACACACCCCACCTGAATTGAAATACTATTGAGTACCTGATCATATTTATTTATCTGTACAAACCTGCATTCTGCATACAAACCTCTGGTTATGATTAAGAGTTACTTTGCTGCCATCTAGCGATTGGAGGGTTGTTTATCATTCAAGCATAAATAAAGAAACATAAGACGTTAAAACGAGGGATGTCCGATAATATTGGCCAACCAATGAATCGGCCCGATATTAGCATAATAATGTAATATCTGTAAAGTCTTCTTCTTTTTTTTTTTCCTCTGATAATGAAAACCCGATAACGCAATGCCTGGGTTTCACCACACGATGTGTGCTCTAAAAATAGTTTTGGGGATAAATGACTGTATATTAAAGTGAAAGCCACTAGATGGCAGCATTGCATCTAAATGAATCGCATACTCATACAGTGGTTTGAACAGATAGGATCGGTATCAGCATAGGTGGGTGACACAGTTCCAACTTACGGCAAAAAACAAGTTACATCGCAAAAAAATGAGTTGCATCACACAGTATGTACTTCAGCTTAAAAATCAACAATTTTGGACGACAAATCAAATTTTTGCCAAAATTAAAAAATGTATTGACATCTTCCAACAAGTTGAAATCTAGTCCTGGTTTTTTATTATTATTATTATTTCTTTTTAAAAGTAAATAATAATTTAAATACAGCTTATGTAAAAAAAATAGCTTTGTAAACTTCTTTTAAATTTGGGAGGGAGGATTTATTGAAAGTCTGTTGAAGTACAAGAAGGAAGGTTTAACCTTCCACTCAGCGAGCGTCTCAGAGGCAAGAATATTTAGCTGTTTTCGGTTTGCAAAGTAAAATCAGACATTTAAGCAGCAGCAGTGGAGTTTCATGTCAGATAAAACTCTCTGCCTCATCCTGCTGCCCTTTTTTCCTTTCACTGCCGCAGCCGCTCACCAGCTCTGTTATTAAATATTGATTGTGAGGTTGAGTCGAAGCCACAATAAACCTCTATTATTGCCAATGTGTGACCTGTAATTCAAGAAAACATCTGCAGCTTAAGAAATTTCTTTTTTCGTTTTTCTCCACTTTTTTTTATTTTTGTCCTTCCATAAAATCACTTTTATAGAATAAAGAACCCAATGAGGAAAACATGTAGGCTCCTAACTCCTAAGCATCAACCTCCATGTTTTTTAATGTAAAATATTATTTTAATTTTTTTTATGTCAGACATTTAACAGTGGATTTTTACAGAAAGTTAACAACAAAAAACCTTGAAAGTGGAAAAATGTGAGAGGAATAAAATTAAATAAAACTAAAAATAGAAATAATGTATAAATGTGACAGTTAAAAGAAACGAGTGCGCGAGAAGACGTTCAGTATACTGTACTGTCATTATTCATGCTTGAATGATAAACAGTCCTCCAGTCACTAGATGGCAGCATATCAACTCATTTTATCATCACAAGATTGTAGACAAAATGCTGGTGCCGTGGTTTGTACAGATAAATAAATATTACCAGCCGTTCAATGGTATTTAAATTTTAATGGGGGGAGGGGACATGGCAGAAAATAATAATCAGAAATAATCAGAATTATAGAAACATATTTTAACAATTATATCTTGTAAATTATCAATACGTATTTTGACTGGATTACCAGTAGTTGATTAATTTACAACACAGTCTGTTCTCAAACATGGTTCACGTGTAAAGCTCCCGGCTTTAGATCACCCCCAATCAAATCCACG